AAGCGGCACCTGGCACACGGCTCGCCGACATAGCGCGACAGAGACGTTTCTCTTCGGTTTAATTACCCAAGTTTGAGGTTAGCATTAACCCCGAGACCTTCCAACAGTGTCTCGAAAAAATTTTGGAACGCGTCCCCGCTAGGGGATGCACAAATGAACTCTAAGATTTGAAATGGCTTGAAGCTTTGATGCTTAATTCCATTTTTATCGTGATTCATCAAGAAGTGTGTCAACTCTTCACTTTCACTGAAACGGTGATGCGGAACCACACAGGAGAACATCCACTATATGGTGGAGCAAAAATACAGGATCTCCCAGTGCTGAAAATTGATTCCGGTGTTGCGTAAAAAGTCCCATCCATAAACCAGCAAGTATTCTGTAACATTCTTGTAAGCCACAGCGTCCTTCGTCGATTTCGAGTAGACTAACGGACCTTCGAGACATCGCTCCTAAAGAAAAAACTTAGCTAGCAAAATACTAAAAAGATTCACCATCACATTATGTTTCCGTCGTTGAATGTCGCGGTAAGCCGAATGTACTTAAGTGCGTATCGCTTTCCAGTCGGTCGCCGAATCAGATGATTTCCATCCCGGTGAAATAAATTGATTTTTGCCTCATCGGTAAATAACACTTTCGCCCAATCACGTGTCGTCCAACTTCGGTAGGTCCGTTAGTCTACGTGAAATCGACGATGGATGCTGTGGCTTACAAGAATATTATGGAGACCCAAATGCTTCCCTTTGCCAATCAAACGATGCCTCCCGGATGGATGCTTTACCAAGACAACGACCCGGAACACAAGTCGAGACTGACGATGGGACGGTTGGTGACACTTCAAAATGGTACCAGAGCTCGCCTGTCCGGATGGTTTGCGGAAAATCGTGTTAAATTGATCAATCCACCTCCCTACTCACTGGATCTCAACCCAATTGAACATTTTTGGTCATTTGTGAAGTCGCGCCTCAAGGGAAAATTCGACTCGAAGGCCGCCTTATGGGTTCACATTCAACGTCTTTGGGTCACCATCCGCCCAAGTCTTTTGAAAAATCTCGTGGATTCCATGCCGGATCGACTCAATGGAGCGATAAAAGCAAAAGGGGGACCAACCAAATATTGATTTTTTTGAAAGAATTGTTAATTCTTTGCAAATGGGACATTACTATTTGTTAAGCAACTTATTTTTTTTGTTTTATACTTTAATTTTTATGCAATGTATAGGGATAAATCTTACAATCTTGAAAAGTAGAGTATTATGGGTAAGCAAAAAACCCTACACTTTTTGGGAATATCGTTTTTTTTTGCACGAAAGAAAATTTTGGATGGCAATGGGACAATACTTTTGTGGACCACTGTATATAAAAAATTAGAAAATAGTAAAATGTACTTACCGTAACAAGGTTATTGATTCCCCAATCACTATCAAACAAAATAACGAAGAAAACAAAAAGTTACCTATTTGCAGCAAGAGCCGTTGAAATCGGCGACAAAGTAGAGCAATCAACTATGAATTTGCGGAAATCAGTGGAATCAGTGGCTCCTAAAGATAAAAATTCTTCCTTTTGAATCAAAAAGCCGATATAAAAACCTAGGAAACAAAGAAGAAAACGTTACACGCTTGTTTGACTCCAGGTGTGCTCCTTGTGGATGATTCTCGAGCGTCACCCAAACCTAAACAAAGAAATACGTTATCTATAAGCTAATTGTAGAAGAAAAATACAAAATAAGTATTAAAAAACGAGATTTTGGGGCATTTATCATAAAAGTGGCAAATTTCTACATTTTTCTCTAAAAAATGGACGACCCGAGCTAATTTTGGTCGTTTTTGCGCGCATTTGATGCATATGGCCGCGCTCTAGGTGTAATAGATGAAAAAAGTGCAAAAACATTAGCGAAACCATAGAAACATGCAAAAACAAGGCGAGAATCAAGAATATTAAAATCTAGTGGCGCTAAAATTAACGTTTTCAAGCCTTTTTCGTGCGCCGCTGAAATGAACGTCTTTTGGCCTTTTTTAGGCGGTGCTGAGATGAACGTTTTCGAGCCTTTTTTTTGCGCGGCGCCGAAATGACTCGCGCTGAAACGAACGCGCTTTTCTAACTAGGTCCTGAAAAAAGGTACAAATAGAGAGCCGGCATTTAAATAGCAGAATTCAATTGCAAATTTAAACTAAAGCATTTACATTTATTGATTTGCATTTATTGATGTTTTATAACCGAGCGAATTGGGGGGAAACGCATATTATCTTCTATTCAACCATCAACTTGCAGCGCGAATCGTCTTCAAAGATGAGAAACGAATTGGAAAACAACGATCAACATGATGGAGATTCAATGGCAAATCGACCACTTCGTCCGCTCAAATCATCGCCAATTCCACCGCCAATCATCCCTTCGTCAACTCCTGCACTCACCTATGCTGCTTCGAATACGTTCGACAAGGTTTCTTTTGATTTACTATATTTTCTTTTGTTTATTGGTTCACTTTGAACTCAGCAGCTAGTTTAATCTTGCTGTCAATAGTTTAATGTTGGTGTAAGTTTTCTTTAATACTTTAACCTTTACTTTCTTTAGAAACTTGTGTTACCTGATCGTGAGCGTTGGCGTGTGCCCGTAGAAGATGTTTACCTCGAAGGACAACTCGTCATCTATGTTAAAGCGAAATCGCTTCTTTGGGAGTGGTATTCAAATGTGAAAACTCGTACACTCACGCTCACTCGCCGTGGATTTCTCGTCATTTACATGAAAGGCAACAAAGGTTGTTGGATATTTTATCGCTTTAAGAAATTTTTCTTTGTTTAGGATACATCATTGATGTTGGTGCAGCTAAATCGATCGAATGTGTCACTGATAAACGAGGAGCAAATCCCTATGTGGGTGATTTGGAAAAATATTATTTGTTTCGTTGAACGTTTAACTGTTTTTTTAGTACCGCACTCACATCAAACTGCGCTACAGCTTTGGCAATGTTCACTTGTGGGGCTTTCATGAGAATGGACTCGATTGGAAATTGGCTGTTCAAAAGGCGTTCGAGCGATCGATTCCACCATATCGTTCACCAATCACATCCACTCCAAAACGTGTCATGTATGAATCATTTTTTTTAATTTTCTTGAATCGCTGTTCAGTTTGTCTCCACCACAAACGGACAACGCAATCACCCCACGTGGCAATGATGAGAAGAATGAAGAGACAGCGATGTTGAATGCTGCCGAATACTTCGCTGAAATGGCTGACGTGGTCGAATCGGAGTATTTGGCTCCCGAGCTTCGTCCAATTGCTCAAACTGGTTTGTTTTGTTTTTTGTTAACCGTAATTTGTAAATTTTCTTTAGAGAGTGCTGTCTCGTGGATGAGCTTGGACGATGTGATCAATGACCAAGAAGATGCCAATCAAGAAAGTCCCCATAAGCAAAGGACCACCGATTTTCAAGACGCCGCTACAGTAAGCTTTGCTTATTTAATCTCTAGTATATTTTTGTTTACAGAACATTCCCTCAGTCACTCATGTGCAGCGTGTTCGTCGATTCCTTCGCAAAAGCCTCCCAGCAGTTGATCGATCGTTTTCCGCTCCTCATGTAAGATAATATGATCTTATCAGTTATTTTCTTACTTTAGATGACGGTTGAAGAAAAGCCAGCCAAGCAGCATTCTCCAACGAAGCCAGCGGATCTTCTTAATGCCTCTGTCAATCAGGAAAAGAAGTTGATATTCTTGATCTTTATTATATCATTGAGTGTTCTGATTCTCGACTAATTCCTTTTAGGCAAGAATCATTGATGTCAAAGCACAATGTTGCTGAGATTTGCGCCAAACTTGAAAAGACTCTCTCAACTCGTCAACCTGTAAGCAAATTTACGATACTTTTCATTTTATCTTGTTTAGGCACGCGAGAAGAAAGGTTTCTATCGTTGGATCAAGAAGACAACGCGTAGCCCTGAAAAGAAAGCACAGGTTGAGGTGGGATTTTTGAAATACTCCTTGAACAAACTAATTGCTAATGTTTAGATGGAGGAATCGATGACTTCAATGGTTGGATATGAGAAGGCACTCGGATGGGAAAAGCCAATGATTGGAACCGACTCGGAGACAAATGTTTGAATGAAGCCTCGAGCAACAAATGAAACGATCACTTTTCTGCAATATTTCATTTGAATCTTTTGATACTCGGGTACTAATAAATGGGTTTTGATGTAGTTTAATGATTTGTTTGAAGATAAAATCTTGAAATCGAAAGCTATCTGAGAACGACCATCCATCATTTACTGGGGAAGGCCGCCAACTTAAGGTGGAATTCCAAAACGAGACCTGTCCTATGTTGTTCAGTTCTTCACGGGCTTTCCGAATTCGCTTTTGGTTTTCCTAAATGGCTTGAAAACACAAGGAATTTGGTTTTAAACTTTTAGCAATCCTTTTGTAAGACTTCCTCGCTTGCCTCGGAAATATGTCCCCGTAGCCGAGAGGTAGTGCTCTCGGTTACAAAACTTTTGGTCCAAGTTCGACTCCCTCGTCGACAAAATTTTTAACTTTTTTCATGAAAAAAAATGTGTTTTTCCTTTAGATTGAATTTCCTATCAAACTACAATCAAGAAAAAAAGTTGTAGGAAATTCAAATCATATGTCATATTCTGTCATGTGTGTCAAATAAATTCTGTTTTTACATCAATTTTTTAAATGGGAAGCACAAATGTCCCTCGACAGGCTAGAATTTTCTCAACGATGCTACTCCAAGCCGGGCTGTCCCCGAGAAAAAGTCGATGATGTCAAGTGTGTGGAACGTCCTAAGTGCTGAACATCCAATCACTCAAGTCTACATAATTTATCAAATTTCGTCAAAAAGAATTAAAAATATCGTAAACAAATTTGTTCATGACAACCAGCAAGAAACAAAGAAAACAATTAATGATGTAATTAATAGATAAATGGAGAACGTTTTTACCCGATCAAAGACAATCATGAAACAAATTAATATACTCAGATAACTCAAAAATAATTCAACAATTTAAGACTCCAGCATGTTTGCGTTACAAATTTCCCAAACCATTCGCTTTCGATAGTAGTTGATGTCGGCTTGAGTGAAGGTGAGATCCGCTTGACGCGATGCGTATTCGGCGAAGAGACACGAAAAGACACCGCAATCGTAACCATTCTTCTGTTGAGGACAATCCTGGAAAGAAGATATTAAAAAGGATCTAGAGTTCAGTTTAGAAACCCTGATTCACAGTTTCATTTGCTTCCAGATACAAGTAACTAACCTGTCGGAAAACTGTGCTCCATTCTTTTGGGTTAAACGCCTTTTTCTTATTCTCCGCTTCTTTCACCAAATAGTCGAGAAGAAGTCGCAAACATTGATCACTGTCGCTATAGCCGGCCATCGAGTCGTAGTACTCAATCTTCTGCTCGATCATGTTGATTATCTGAAACAAACAATTAAGTAGCGAATTTAATAGTAACAAAGGCTACAAACAAACAAAGTAACAAAAAAACAAAGGATACAAGAGTGTTGCACGGTAAAACCTTTGTGGTTGTTGCAAAACTTAGTTTTTTAAGATGGACTCGTAAGGTGGACATTTTCGCGAAAGAAATGGTTTTTGTACCCGTTCATTTGGATGTTCACTGGTGTATGGCGGTGGGTTTGCTGACTGTATGTATAAATGAAAATAACATTTAAAAGATAATTGAGGATAACTAGTAACTCAAAATAATTAGCAACTTTTTTTAGAACAAAGGAAAACAGTTGAGTATAGAGAAAAAGAAATGAGGGGTAGGCTACTTTTCGCCAATTTTTTTGCGCAACTCGCCATAACTTTCTTCTAAGTCGGTCACTCTTTATGATTTTGGTTTCATTTTGTTGCACTTATTGAGATCTACAAAATGAAACCAAAATCATAAAGATTGATCCACTTAGAATGGCGAGTTGTGCAAATAATCCTGTTGCGCACTAAAATGCACTAAATACCGTAATCCGCTTTTTTTGCGACTTTAGGGGGGGTGGGACAAATGCGACCTTTTTTTTGCTGGAAAAGGCCTTAGGCAAGGCCGAGTTTCAAAAACGTTTTCATAGAAGGGAATCGTATGCGTAGATTCCGAATTTCGACAAATCAGACCTCGCTGACACGTCAAATTTGGGCTAAAGGGCAAAAACTGCGGAAAAGCGTTCAGTTGCGTAGTTTCTGCCTTTTAGCCCAAATTTGACGTGTCAGCGAGGTCTGATTTGTCGAAATTCGGAATCTACGCAAACGATTCCCTTCTATGAAAACATTTTTGAAGCTCTACGACCTTTCCTAAGGCCTTTTCCAGCAAAAAAAAGGGTGCGCAAAAAAAAAGGTCGCATTTGTCCCACCCCCCAAAAATAATTTTTTTCTTACTTTTGCGCAATTTCTTCTCGTAGTTTTGTTTTCTACATTGTTTTTAAAGCAATTAGTGTTTCACTATAGAGTTCAACTTTATTTATCAATAGAATCAATACAACAAAAAATAGAATAAAAATAGCTAAAGTTGCAAAAAAAAAAAGATTTTTGCGCAAAAAAAGCGGATTACGGTATTTAGTGCATTTTAGTGCGCGACCCCAAAATGTTTTCTCGGGAAATGCTTGCCAGTCCATCGATTACCCTAAAAAAAGCAAAAAAAATGAAAAAAAAAATCGTGTTCCCTAACTTTATTAGTACCGTGAATTTTTCTAACTTCTAATTTTTGTGCGTTCTTTTCCTGACGAATAATTAGATCTTGGTGTTATATCTTTTTCGATTTGTCTGAGGTTAAAATTTTGCTTGCGTTTACATAATTGACCGAAAAACTTTGATAATCTTCATCAAATGATTCATCTCGACGAATCTAATTTATACGAAACGCTCAGTCGAATATAAATTGGCTGTTTTTTTTTCTTGTCTGCCACCTCCTTTCGCTGAAAATGGTATTGATGGGCAAAAGAGAAATTATTTCATTTCCCGCAAAACAGTCTATATTTCGAATGTCGTTAAAGAATGGATTTATATTGATTTCTCTAGTGATTGAGGTGATCTCGGAGATCAGTTTGCAAGCATTTGAAATGCGGAGGAAAATGGATGTCTCTTGCTTTATGACAGTGAGTTTTTATAGTGAATTCTACTCTAAAGCTTCTACAGACCCTGAGGTCTGTAGAAGTAAGGTTGGCATAAGTGTTTCTTGCTAATGCATATGTTAGAACTCAATATAAATCACCTGGTTCCTCGGTTAAAATGCATAGTTTTTTAATCAAGCCAAATCCGGTAACAAGCCAAAATTTGGTAAAGTTGGCATAAGTGTTTCTTGCTAATGCATATGTTAGAAATTTTGAAAATGGAACAAAAATCGTGATCCCGACTCTGGCACGCTTTAGCTTTAACTCAAAAAACCTCATACTCAGCATAACTCTTTCAGGATCTAGAAATAGAGATAAACCAATGCATTCTCTCGGAAATTTTAGGGAAACAAATCGATCGAAGATTCGGATGTGATTTTGGATGGGGAATTTACGAGATGCAATCCATTCTTTTACAATTGTCGATATGTCGGTGAAACGACGAATGATGCAAATAATGATAGTTTGGTGTGATTTACAAAAGATTTGGAAAGCGATTAGACAAAACTAGAGACAGATTACGGTATTTTCTGACAGTTGAGTTTTAGAAAAGACAAAGGAACACACATTCATAATGTAATTTCCAGATTACCGATTTGGATGAGAGCAAAGGAGAGATTTCTTGTGGATCGCGTGGTTACTTTCTTCTGGAAAAGGTCTACCCAATCGTCTAGTTTATTTCAGATACAGTAGTTCATAAAATCCAAAACTTCATTTCCAGAACACATGCAATTTCTACTATTTCTCCCGTGTCTCCACTTTGTGCACAAATTTGGATGAGTGCTATGTGGTTAAGCTGCGCTGTGGAAAAGCCGCCTTTGAATTGACAGCCTTGTCGCTTTTCTGTGAGTTATGATAACATTTCTCGTACATAAACCTTTCTAGTGATGCTCCTAATTTGGCTCTTGTTGATGGTGTACTTTGTGAAGCTCATCCAAGTTTGGATCTTCGCTGCTTCACACTCTGGATCGGCGAATCTCTCAAGGGTAATACATCTGGCTTAAATTTTAAAATGTTTCAGGACTACTATAGCTTTTTCTCAAGAGAAACTTTTGGAAAACGTTTCGAGCAAGCTAATTTAGTCAGAGGACAAGAGTTGAAACGACTCTTGCTTGGCATGTCCAACTTGAATCATAAAAGTTTCAGCGTGAAAAGCAGCACAATCAAAAGGTGGCAAACGCTGTAAAAGCGTCAATGAAAAAGGGCCATGTCAATTTGGGAATCGTCGGTTTCGATGAAAACGGGCAAGCGATCGATGAAAGGTTCCGTGAAACGAAATTCGTGGAAATCGATTTAACAGAACAGACGCCTTGACCCAGTCAATACTCAAGCAAAAATCACCGAATGGATCTCATCTTTTTCTGCGATAAACCTTGGAAATCTTTTTGCTTCTGCATCAAATTAGCATTGTCATTTGCATATGAATAAAATTTATAATCAAGTCAAGGCCACGAAATTCACCAACCTAAATAAAAATACGTTTTTATTTTTCTATCTCAATTGTTTCGTCTTTCGATTTCGTATGTTTTTAGAAAGTTTTAAAATTTTTTTTATTGATACTCAGCGTTTCATTTTTTTTTCAGAATCAAGCAACGGAATAAGAGTACAAAATTTTACCCCCAAATGAGATTACGGTAAGTGAGCGATTTAGCTGTTCTTTGTTTAAGAAATGATTCGGAACACCGAAGAGTTTTGAGGCAACGATTTGGGTCAGAGAGATGCGTTTTTTGAATGCAACAATGCATATTGCAATGGTAATATAAGTATGGATGAGTTTTTTTTTTAATCTTTAAGCACTGCTAAATAAAATTGAAGTCATACTTCCATTAGTTTCATAACCAATTTAGTTATTTTCCTTTTTTTAGAGTGCAAAGCGTAGACCCGGTGCTGAGGGACTGCGGGAGTTGGTCGAGGAAATTCGGGACGCTTTCGAAAAGTTTCAATGAGTCGCTGCATTTCCAGTGAGTCATTAGTGTATATTATAAAAACTAACTACCCCTTACCGACAAGTGATAGTTTTAATGTTGGGTTTGATAGTTTGGATAGTGTCAGTAGTTGTAAGAAATATATGTTTATGTTTTGATCTATATAATTTCTTGTGAGACCGTGTCTCGGTGTGGTTCAATCTACGATTTAGAAAAGGTCTCTAAAAAGAACTTTTGCGAATACAATTAAAAAAGTCAACCGACCGTACTTCTTCATTCTCGGCGGTAATCAGTGTGACTTTTCTAAAAAACTATTTTAGATCACCGATACTACTGTGGCGAATCGCCACTGCTCTGCAGTTAGTCAAAAATTCAATACACAAGTTAAAATTCAAAGTTGATGGATAAACTACCGTAATCAGTCACTAGACGATATTCAGCTGTCCGTTTGTTGTAGCTTGTATACTTAAAAAACCCGTTATTTAAGCTTTCCTTTTGAGTGAGTTTTTGTTCTCCTTTTTTTTTGCTTTTTATCATCCTTTTTTTCACATGCAAGTGTTGAATTAATTGTGATAGTGCCAGGTTGCTCCAGTTTGAGCGAAGTTGCCCTAATAAGGGAAAGTTGGATAAATTGTGCGTTTTCAAGAAGACCACTCATTGACGAAGGTCTCAATTTCGTTCACAAAAGCCCCTCGTTTGGACCATAAGTGTAGGTGTTTGTTTTACCTTGGTTGTTAAAATTTTTGTGTGTTTAGTGGGAAGAGTGAGAAATAAGGATGAACGGCGAAGGGATCGACAATACAGGTTGATCAGTGATCGTTTTTGAAACTAGGTAATTACTTCATTTTAGGAAATAGCTAGCCAAATGAAGCGAGGAAATCCACGAAAGAATGAAAACTATTCGTCTGTTTTGCGATTGTTTAAATGTGGGGTGATTCGTAATAAATCGTACTTGCCATGGTTATTATTTTATTGTTGTCATTATTTTGCTTGGAGCCGGATTTTGACACACATTACACAGTTTGATTTATCTCATGAACATTAAGATGTGGCTTCAGTACCGTATCCCCTAGAATTTGTAACAAAACATCTGTCTGTCCTTTGGCAATTTAAGGCTTTTCTTAGCACCAACTCTTCGATTCTGATTATTTTGACTATCATTCTGTTATGTGGGATACTAGACTTGTAACAAAGCATCTGCCAGTCCTTTTTTATTTTTTATATCTGCCAGTCGGCAATTTAAAGTTTTTCTCAACACCAACCCTTCGATTTTGACTATCATTCGATGCGAGAATAAAATTGTGCGTCAAATGATACCAATGAATATCTATAATGGGCGGGCTTTAGGTTTTTAGCCAACGGCTTTGCGTGGATATTATATTTCGAGTTAATAAAAAAAACAAAAAACGTTAAATTGCCGACGGCAAAAAAAGGACTGGCAGATGTTTTGCTACAAGTCTAGTTTCCCTCATAACAGACATTTCACTTCTAAAGGGAGAACGAGCAACTCCAGATTCTTAGTGGAGGCTCATTTTGACTCGATTTGAAAAAAAGTTCTGTTCAATTTATATCACACAGTTTGAAGGAGTCTTAAAATTTGTCTTCGATAGCGTACTCCTTTTCAACTAAAGAAAATAATATTTTTTCTACGCGCTCTTTGTTGATCCCAATATCGCATTAAACTTGGCATTTCTGTAAGCACAAACAGAAAATAAATTTAACTCACACAAAATTATTTTGTACTGTAGTTGGTTTAATTGGCGCTTCTTTAGTGTTTGCCACAAAATTGCGTTGATTTACGATTAACACATTTACATGCAAGTAGAGCGCACGTAGCCAAAGTCAGTTCATGTTATTTTCCATTTCTAATACTTGTTTTTTTGCGCTTGGTTTGTTGATTTCCCCCATTTTTACTTATTTTTTTCATTTAGTTAGCGAAATACGCCTAAATGACTGAACTCGACCCGAAGAATCCTTCGCGCAACGAGGAAAAAGGTTCGTTTTGCTAATTTTGGCGTAGTAATGTTTCTCGTTTTAGTTTATCACTTTGCGAGTCCGATCAGTGCTGAGAAATTACCACAAACCAAGCTCGATAGTCAGGTATCTTTATTTACTTTTTTAAATAAACAACATTACGATCAAGTCCGGATACAAATGAATAGAACCCTACTCTCGTGGGCTAATAACTAAGTACCTGTGTTATACAAATTGAAAAATAGATGTTGCAATAAATCCTTAATTTTTTTCTTTTAGCCACGTTGCCACTCGTACAACGATGCAACTTCGCACACGCCAATGGACTCAGCAACGATTGGACATAAACGAGTCAAAAATGAAGACAATCCGCTAACGTTTCCAAGTGAAACGCTCTCTTCTAGTGGAATACAAAGGTTGAACCTTCATAAATAATTAATTTATTGCTACCTTTTAGCACGCACATACTGAACTCGTCTAAATCGGAGCCGATTTCTACCGATGATGACTTTTATGAGAATTTCCGAGCCGCACACGAAGCTATCGACGCAGGAGTGCATCCAATTCTGATCCCTGAGGGAACGTCGGGTAAATTTCGTTTGTCAAACAATTAAATGTGCTGTTTAGGTTCTTATTTTGTGCGCGACGTGAATGGCCGTTATCTGGCCGTTTTCAAGCCAAAGGACGAGGAACCTTTTTGCACCACTTAATCCAAAATGGCCAAAGTTTTTCCAGAAGTGAACTTTTAACGATGCAAACTTATTTAACGTTTGCCCAATTTTAGAATGTTGTGCTTCTGCTGCTTTGGACGCGCGTGTCTCATTCCAAACAACGGATATCTGTCCGAGGCGGCCGCAAGTCTTGTTGACGAAAAGCTCAAGGTACATTTTGTTCTTGCCTAGTTGTTTAGTTGTTTAAACTTCAAATTTAGCTTCACATCGTTCCAAAAACCCGTGTCGTCAAGTTGGCCTCCGCATCGTTTTTCTACAAGAAGAGGTTTTGGACCTCGTATGGTGGCATTGAACATTGGCCGAAAGAGGGAAGCTACCAGGTATCTCAACGTTTCTTGGTGTGTATTATTGTTTTACAGCTATTCGTTCATGGATATGAGCCGGCAAGTATTGTGATGGCTCGTTGGGAATACGACGAGAAATTGTTGAGTGACGCAGAAGAAATCTCGTTTCGAAGACAGTTTCAGGTAACTACTAGATAAATACAACAACTTTAATGAGTTGTTTAGCGAATGTGTGTCCTCGACTATGTCATTCGAAATACCGATCGTCACAAGGACAATTGGCTGATCAAGTTGCGCTCAAATTTGACACTTTCTACGGATGACTGTTTAGGCACGTTCCCGGACAAACCATCCGCTTGGCTGCCATCGATAATGGACTTGCTTTTCCCGTCAAACATCCGGAGTGTGCTTCGCGTTTTCGTCAATTTCCCTTTCAGTGGGCAACGCTCAAATGGGCTAATGAAGTTTTTTCAAATCAAAGCCCTCTCTTAATGGATCGTTTAGAATTGGGATGAAACTCTTCGCAAAGAACTGCTGGCACTTTTTACTCCACTTTTCATTCACAATCTCAGTTCGGAGCTCCGCCCACTTTTGAGGTGTGATTTACAAATTAAGATCTACGTTTTCTTTTCAGACACGATCACTTGGACCGTTCTTTGACAAGCCATCAATTGAAAGTATTGCGTGGCCAGGTGGCACTTTTCGTTTATCCCGTGTACAATCCTCATTTAGATTTACAATCTCGTTCAAGCGCTTGAAAATGACATGACTCCCGCCCAAATGTCGAACTTGACTCCAATCAACCTTCATCGAACATATCGCAAGCTGCCCGTTGGTGATAACATCCGGGAAAACTTTACGGTAATTTTTTAGAAATGCCAGTGTCTCATTGTAGTTACGAGGTTGAACTAGATGAATGCTCAGCTCACTTCTTTTCTTTAGGTGCGCGACATGGATTACAAGGGCCGCGTGTGCTGCTGAGTGATTATTGCCGAAACTGCCGACATTTCACCTTGCTCTTCCCAACGTTATTTCTATTGTGTGTGCTTTTTAAGATTTCTGTCAATTTTTGTGGTTTAATAATTCACTACTTTCTCGTGTCCCTCTAGACGCTCTAGTGCTATTTTGTATTGTTCAAAATAAACCACGAGTACTTGGTACTGGTTAACTATTCTCTCTTCTATTTGCAACACAAATAAATCCTGTTTTCACACGAAGTTTTAACAAACAAAGCACGAATCATGTCGAAGGAATCAGAATTGGTTCGACACAGAAGAAAGTTTACATGTGTTTTTTCGGGAGGCAAGGGGTGTGTTTGGATCAAAATAATCAAACAATATATGTATTTAACTTGCAAGTCTACATAACTCATCAAATTTTTTTCAGATCATGTCATATTCTGTCATGTGTGTCAAATAAATTCTGTTTTTACATCAATTTTTTAAATGGGAAGCACAAATGTCCCTCGACAGGTTAGAATTTTCCCAAAGATGCTACTCCAAGCCGGGCTGTCCCCGAGAAAAAGTCGATGATGTCAAGTGTGTGGAACGTCCTAAGTGCTGAACATCCAATCACTCAAGTCTACATAATTTATCAAATTTCGTCAAAAAGAATTAAAAATATCGTAAACAAATTTGTTCATGACAACCAGCAAGAACCAAAGAAAAAAATTAATGATGTAATTAATAGATAAATGGAGAACGTTTTTACCCGATCAAAGACAATCATGAAACAAATTAATATACTCAGATAACTCAAGAATAATTCAACAATTTAAGACTCCAGCATGTTTGCGTTACAAATTTCCCAAGCCATTCGCTTTCGATAGTAGTTGATGTCGGCTTGAGTGAAGGTGAGATCCGCTTGACGCGATGCGTATTCGGCGAAGAGACACGAAAAGACACCGCAATCGTAACCATTCTTCTGTTGAGGACAATCCTGGAAAGAAGATATTAAAAAGGATCTAGAGTTCAGTTTAGAAACCCTGATTCACAGTTTCATTTGCTTCCAGATACAAGTAACTAACCTGTCGGAAAACTGTGCTCCATTCTTTTGGGTTAAACGCCTTTTTCTTATTCTCCGCTTCTTTCACCAAATAGTCGAGAAGAAGTCGCAAACATTGATCACTGTCGCTATAGCCGGCCATCGAGTCGTAGTACTCAATCTTCTGCTCGATCATGTTGATTATCTGAAACAAACAATTAAGTAGCGAATTTAATAGAAAATTATATATTCAATGACTAAACCCACCGCCATACACCAGTGAACATCCAAATGAACGGGTACAAAAACCACTTCTTTCGCGAAAATGTCCACCTTACGAGTCCATCTTAAAAAACTAGGTTTTGCAGCAACCACAAAAGTTTTACCGTGCAACACTCTTATATCCTTTGTTTGGGTCGCGAATATTTTTGTAGAAGAACGTGTTGAAAGTGTAGGCCTAAACCATTATTATGCTGATTTGCATGTTTAGAACTAACCTTCGGATATTTGCTTGACTTTTCGCTTCGATCAACGAGCAGACTTAAGAAAGCGTTGATGACCTCATCATTTAGCCATTGAGATGCTAAAAGGAGTTATGAACAAAGCAGTATTCTTTGTGCAGATATTAAAAATTAAAAACAAACGGCGAAGTGTGAGCAAATCCTTGCGCATGATCTCGACACCAAAACATTTCCCCATCACTTCGGTTTGGCTTGCTGACGCATTCCAGGCTCGACCTATTAAATCTTCAGCGGCTGCTGGCAAATCTAAATGTTTTGATGGGAGAAAAAACAGAAACAAAGTAAAGTACCGATCAGTCTCTTCTTTTCCGGCTTTGCTATAGGGATCTTGATACCGCTGATCTTAAGCTTTGTCCTAAGCTCATCCACGAAATTCTAGGCCATACATTTTGCATTGAAAATAATAAAAAAACTACCTGCCCCTTTTTCTTCTCGTTCCTTGCCGACTTCACCTGGTCCAATTCAACAATCAACGATGAATCGTAAGTTTTACGGTGTTGAAGCGATTTTTCGAATCTAAATGAAAAGGTTGTAAACAAAACAAACAAGAAAAACTACCTTGCAGCAATAGCCGAGGAGTTGAGATTCAGCGAAGTAAATTTGTTCTCAACATCGTTGAAATATTGCGCTGTCACAATCACAGACGACGAGGTGGAAGACGAGCGAGAACGTTGTGTAAAAGAGGCTGGGGTGGAAAATGTCGAATCACGCGTACTCACAATCGAGATATCGTCGTCACCATCCTAAAATCCACATTATAGCTGGGTATCTATAAACTTTCAAAAATAACTGTTTTATTCTTTTAATACCTCCTTTTCGCCATTGAAAGCGTGATGGACTCGCTGCAGATGGCTTCCCCTTCTCGATTGGCCCTTCTTCTTAAATAAACCATCACTAAAATCATACAACTGATTATGTTGCTCTTTTCAATATACCGTCTGTACAGCGGCACTTGCGTGATTTGATATGGTACCATATTCAAAGCCGATCCCAGGTTTAAATCATTGACCAACAATCTTTTGTACACATCGAGCGAGTTCTAAATATAAAAATAACGTTTTCGTTGATTTAGCGAACTACCGTGTCCATTGGGGGCCGCTTTTTTGGCGACCTGAGGAGTGAATTCTTTGGCGTCGCATGATTTGACTTTTCATCTTCGAGAGTGATCACTTCTATGTCGGTTGGATTGTCCAAGGTAATCTAAAAAATTCATGAAATGATAGTTCATTGCTAAAAACATACAATCTCTGGCGTCTTTAATTCTGCTGCTTTCTTCGTGCCTAGTGGAATCACCTCATCCTCGTAGGTCATTTCATGTCGAGATGATGTTGATGGTTTTTGAGGAGACGTCATCTAAATTTGCACATTTCTAGTTGCTCATAAAAGAATAATTAAACAGTTGTACTTTAATGCCAAATCGCCAGTTTTAACTATAATAAGTTTGTTATTTAATGAAAGTCAATGTAATTTTTATATCCGTAAAACCGTAATAAAAGACTCACCGTGTTCCTTGTTAGAGAAGGACTATCAATAATAATGGCATGAGGTTCTTGCCGCTTTGGTTCTGGCCTCAAGAAAATCACATCATCTTCCGCAGCACCTCGATCCCCTGCTGCCGGTTGTCGCAAGTATCGCCGCTCATTTGGCTCGATCACTTGCACCTAAAATTTATAGTTGCTTTATTTCCATTCTAGGTTTCAGCGCACCTCATCTTCTTCTTCCGAATTGCTCAAGTAAATTTCTTGTCGATTCAGCGCACGTGATGTAGTTGCCCTATCTAAACGTTAAGGGGTTTTACTTTTAAAAACTCTCTCAACCTGTATCCATGATAGCGGGTGCAGTAGGCATGAAGTAGTTGAAAGCGCCTCTGAACGTTGAAATCACCGAGTCTAAAGCAAATCAAAATACTTTTAACCCACAATATACTCTAGTTTTAAATAATGAGCCAAAGGGCAATGCTTGACTTTGCCAATGACTCTAAGATAGAAAAGCCTCACTGATAATTGTTGTTGGCCGAAAACTTTCAAGACGAGACTTCTTGACGGTGCCAATGTGCTGAGTGTTGTTGTCGCGTCGGCGTTTTCGTGAAGTTTCTAAAACAAGCTTGGTTAAGTACACGGGTCGGGGGATTCATAAATGTTTTTAACTAAAATAAAACAAGCTATTTTGTCGTGCGGAACATAACCCTATAGCACCCTTGCTTAATTAATGAAACAAATTCTAAAACCTCTTTCCGTTGAGTCGATTTGTTCCAAATCCAAAAATCTTGGGGGACTCATATAACTGGCTCGAGTCACAGGTCTTCCCATACCTAAAATAAACTTTAAACAATGAGCTACCAAAAATTACCTCTTTCTTGAGCAACGAAGTCACAAAATCGACAAAATGCTCGCACTTATTAATATCTGAAGAAAAATGCGTAAAGAGAACGGCAAGCAAAGAGATAAAAGCTAAATTTGTTCACTTTTGAAATTGTCTGCATTACGCGATGAGGAGGGCCGGCTGCCAAAAAGGCGACAGTATAAAGGAGTGGCGCGTCGTCTCACACAAAGTGTTTACAATCTCGAAACTTCGTAGATAACCGGTCTTTCGAATTTGCGCGAATGTTATGTGTTTAACATAAAGTGGGTGCTACGTTTATCAGAAATTTTTAAAAACTACATGGTCACGGATGGTGAAATTTATCAATTCTTGTAAGATCATTTCACAACGATGTCCAAGAAGCACAGATTAAACAGCGATGGGCCACAGATCACTCTGGAAATTGAGTAACTTTTGTAAAATTCCCGGGGGTGGGACAAATGCGACCTTTTTTTGCTGGAAAAGGCCTTAGGCAAGGCCGTAGAGCTTCCAAAACGTTTCCATAGAAGGGAATCGTATGCGTAGATTCCGAATTTCGACAAATCAGACCTCGCTGACACGTCAAATTTGGACTAAAAGGCAAAAACTGCGGAAAAGCGCTAAGTTGCATAGTTTTTGCCTTGACGTGTCAGCGAGGTCTGATTTGTCAAAATTCTGAATCTACGCATACGATTCCCTTCTATGGAAACGTTTTGGAAGCTCTACGGCCTTGCCTAAGGCCTTTTCCAGCAAAAAAAGGTGCGCAAATGTTCAGGTGAGCAAAAAAAAGGTCGCATTTGTCCCACCCCCAAGTTTAAAAAAAAAAATCAGTTTTTACATTGGAAGGGAATTTCCCACCAAATCAGTTAAACGGCTGAGTATCTTTAAAAAGTGTCCTATATAATGCGGGGCTCTTGATTTTTGGGGTAGGCTAGTTTCCGCAACTTTTTTTGCGCAACAGGGTTATTTGCGCAACTGGGTCGTTTGCGCAACTCGCCATAACTTTCTTCTAAGCAAGCCAATCTTTATGATTTTGGTTTCATTTTGTTGCACTTATTGAGATCTACAAAATGAAACCAAAATCATCAAGATTGGCTTGCTTAGAAGAAAGTTATGGTGAGTTGCGCAAAAAAAAAAAAATGCGGAAACTAGCCTACCCCTGCGCAAAAAAGGTCGCATTTGTCTCACCCCCAAATTCCCTACAAATCATAAAGTAGTCAAAGCTCGAAATTCTAGACCATTTTAAACTAGACTTGCTTATCGATATTATCGATACAAACAGCAAGCTCATGTTTGATCGCTCAGATCTTGGTTTCTAGAACAGCTATCAATCTGCAAATTGTTTCATTGGAAACCAAGAATGTCAGCTTTTGATTGCTATCTCACACATAGCAAATTCTCAAAGGTGAGTGCCTTAAAAAGTTTATCAAGACTTATCGATACTCAAATATTGGTAAGCCATCGATAATCGATATCGATAAGTATCGATAGGGTTTATGAGGTGCTTACTCATTAAAAGTAGCTATGTATAAAATAGCAATCAAAAGCTGGCATTCTTCACTTTCCAATGAAACCATTTTCAGATTGATAGCTGTTCTAGAAACTGAGATCTGAACGGTCAAACATGAACATGCCGTTTGTATCGATAAGCAAGTCTACTTTAAATTTTTAAATTCACCTCGACGAGTCCCCGCTTTGCAAGGCTTCCCTCAACAAAGCATCGTACTCTCTAATCCGTTTGCAGATCGGCACTCGTCCATTCAATTTCCGCACACAAATTTTGTAGCATTCCTAGATTTCTCGCATGCAACACTTTTGTCCATGCTATCCTATCAACCTGTTCAAAGTCTGGCTCTTCCAACTTTTCCCTAATTCCATCAACCATTCTCATACAAGATAAACAAGAATTTGAGGGCTTGAGCTAAAAGTTTTGTGGAATACAATCTTTCCATGAAACCAACCAGAGCGGCTCTTGCAATCGAAATCAGCAAGCAAAAGATTAGCCAAGTAAAGTGCATTTTAAAAAGATTTCTTATAAAATTGAGTTGTTCTTTCTTCAAATAGAAAGCGTTGCAAAAATATTATTTCTTAGCTAGGGCTAATCAGAGGCAATCTCTTGACAATAACAAGTCTTGTCGCCAAAACAATGGGCACAAAAACAACTGACACCAAAAATCATCACAGTTCCCTTCTCATCAACCAAAATTTCTCCAAAACACGTAAAATAAACATTTGCCATTCGCTTCCATATCAATAAACTAGAAAAATTGGATGGATTTTACCTGCAAAATCTGTACAAAATACAAATAACACACTTTGCCACTCATTCACATTGTAATAAAAATGAGCCCAGAACAAATGTTTTATTCGGAAGCATCATTCAGTAAATGGTTAATTAGTGGTCGTTAAAGACGAGCGAAGGCTTTGTGGAAAAAGTTTTTATTGTTTGGCGTTAAGTTGTTCTTTGAAAGAAGATGGTCAACAATCATTATCGCTTCTGGCAATCACATCCACAGTCACTAAATGTAAATGATCACAAAAATTCTATTTACCACGAAGATTACCTCAAGACTTCTAAAAACCGCATCAACTGAACACCCATGCAGACGGGAAAAGCCCTTCACTTTCCGAGTCGCAGCTATAATCATCGAGAATTGCCTGAATTGCCTGGATGAAACATTTTGATAGAAAGAAAAATAAAAACATATCACAACAAGTCAACTAATTCAATAGAATTGAGCGAGTTTTTTCAAAGGCATAATGGTGATTCCCTAGCTGAATTTGGTAAAGCATTCCAATATCTGATGGCTCTTTTGAAAAGAATTTTTGTAAGTATGCAAATTTGAATACAAATTTGAGTGATTTGGATGTAATGGGTTTTCAGAAATGAAAAACTGAATGATAATGCAAATTTAATAGCTTTAATAGCTATTAAAGCATTTAATAGCTTTCTAATTTGTTGCATTATTTTCTCTTTCCTCCTTCAATCAATTGTATTATCAAGTTTTTCTTTCGGCGAAACCAAAAAAAATCAAAACTCATTCATAGCGAAACCTTATATCGAAACACCCGAAACCAACCTCATTACAAGTCACTCTTGTTATCGTACTTTTTCTTTTTCCCCTCCTTAGACACCCCAATCTCTCCAGCAGTTATTAGGCTCGGTAATTGTGGTTCAATCGCGCCTAGCGTAAGCCTCATCAATTGCTTTATCAATTGCCAAATAATTGCTTTATCTTATCTGCAGAAGAATCAAATTATGCCAAAAATATTTCTTCCTGTCCTCGAAAAATGATTTGCGGAGTTCTTCTTCGAAATCGAAAAAACGAGCTCGTTATTTGGTCACGAGCCGCCGGATTTTATCAACTCTCCGACGATTTACAGGATTTGTTGAGAAATGCGAATCGAGATGGAGAATGGGTGGATTTCAAAACCGAGTAAGTTCGATGTAATGGCTTTCAGTAATGAAAAACTGAATGATAATAAAAATCCTGAGCATTTAATAGCTTTCTAATTGGTTGATCAATTTGTGGCCTTTATTTTAAAGAGGCATCCCCACATGCCGAGTTTTCTTGGCAAACCCACATCAAAAGGCCTGCCCAGCGTCCCGGTTGCTTTTTCAGATATATTGGGTTGGTGAATTGAAAACTGCCGGACTTTGAACTAAAATTTATTCAACATAAAACCATAAATTCATTCCAAAGAATTTCCATTATTATTGACGACTTCTGCCCATTTTACAGGCAATTTGCGGATTCCTCTTTCGTGGTAGGATTCTGGTTTGTGTCTGAGACAAGTGTGAGAATCAAAAATGGAGGACTGGAGATGTCAGCTGTCAGCCCAGTTTGAGCACTTTTTTCAAAAGAAACCCATTTTGGTGTAAATAGAAAAGTTGTAGAGAATCAAAAATAAGGCTTATAGCCAAATTTCCAAAAAGATACACTTAGTAGTTTCGCTTAAAATGCAAGTTTTGTGAAAATTCGTAAATTTGGCATTTCTTGAAAACCAGTTTTTGAATCGTTCTGAAAATTTGAATATAAGCTTGATTTTTGTGTCTCTACAACTTTTCCATTGGCACCAAAATGGGTTTCTTTTGAAGAAAGTGCTCAAACTGTCACATATGACAATAGCCGGCAGTTTTCAATTCACCAACCCAATAGTAGCCCCCCTCTAATAGTAGTCGCGGTCGCAGGTATTTGACGTTGTAACGCTGTCCGATCAATCTTCTGATCAAGTGATTGCCATCCGGCCGGAAAAGATTGACTTTTGATTCATCAGTAAACACCACATTGACCCGGTCGTCCCGTGTTCAACCTGCGACAATAGCCATGACAATAGCCGGCAGTTTTCAATTCACCAACCCAAATAGTTTCAGTGCCACAGCGGCTGATTCAAGCCCAAAAGCTCGTGGCTTCAATTCTCCCTTTAAACTTTTTGCTTTTTACACGAAAATCGTCAACGGAAATCATGCGCAAAAGACCTAGTTGCGCAAAAAATTTGGCGCAAAGTAGCCTATCACCATATTTACGCTTGTTAGATAAAAATATGTAGATTTAATGTAGTAGAAACTTGATTTGAGAAACTTGACTACTTTGAGACTTTGAGAAACTAAACGATGCATACCGTATTCTCCCTAATAGTAGTGCACCCTGAGCGTCGCCTAAATCTCGAAAAGCGCCTATCAGAACCTATCGATGTGGGGTCGGAAAATGTAGCTGACGATGAGATCTAGTGGGGGGTTTGAGTGTTGAGCTTCTGCAAAAGCTTGGGAACCGGAAAATAGTCATCAACTCGGCTCGGCGGGGTGCACTGCTATTAGAGAGAATACGGTATTTAGTGTAGTAGAAACTTCATTTTCTATGTGGGTCTACCCCTTTAAAAATCTAAAACTCTAAAACACATCCTACTTACCGTAATCGAAAACATTGACTCAATTCGGAAACAAAACTGAAAAGTTTGATCAATTCGATAGCTTTCTAATTGTTTATGACTTCCTGGCATTCTTAACGAATATTTACTTTTTTAATAAGAAGCCAAGCTCTAAAACAAATCATATTTACGGTAATCTTGGTCATTGACACAATTTAGGAATGGCCGCGTGACGAGCATCGCCGAACATGATTTAAAACTTGGTGGCTCGATTCCAGTTCGAGTCAACAATCGAACACATCAAGTAAGTTTCAGCAGAAAAGTTACAAAAGTCAAAAGTAGTTTTGGAAAACGCTTTACTTATAGAAGAACACACCCTAGTTATTATAAAACAATTAATTGAAATGTTTTCAGGCTATGAACTTATAGTTAGAATCAAATAAAGTAGAAAAAGGGAAAAAAAGAAAATTGAACTGTGAAAGGCTGTAGATATCTGAGACAGCTGCGTAACTTGATTTGGGATTTGTTAAAGTGCTCAATCCATTCCAGTTCTTCGCCAAGTTAAATCCATTCCAGTTCTTCGCCTCAATTCTCATCCCAACCGTTTCCCAATCAGCGCAAATCCAATGGAATGATTCATCAGTATATTGTTCTTTCTTCGGAAAAGTGTTAACCTCATCGAGTCAACTCGGCGATTTACGGAAGCACGATACAAGTCTAGGGTATCAAGCTTGGGTTGAATGGTGAGAAATATGAGTTTTGTTCAAATCTAAAGCCTCATTTAGGGATCCAGAGAATGAGATTTTCTACTTATCACAAGAAGAAATTCGCTCAATCTCTCCTGATAAACAAAGCGCCTTAAGGTTGCAACAAGCGAGAATTGTGAGTTTTTCGGTTTACGATAGCTTTTGCTATACCTTTAGGTCTATCGTTTTCTAAAAGGCAGCTGCCTACCGTAATCCAATTGCCAGTTTACATTTGATCACTCAAATTTTGGTATCATTGACTGAGCCTTGAGTTTTTGTCATTTTATCAAAGCTAGGCTGATCGAATGGACACAGCTTTTTAGAATGGCCTTCTTAAAAAGCTTTCTTAGAAAACGACAAGCTCTCTAAAAGTAGATAAACGAAAACTACCGTAACCTGGATGTCTTTTCAAATGTAAACTTTAAATCTTAAATTAAACATTAATATAAATTCAAAACAATACGGTAAAAGTAACAAGAAGCTATTCAGCCCTGGCAACTCGAGAACGTGATAGACCTTGGTTGGAGCCATGGATTGATCGGCTCAATCTCAAACTATTGCCTTTTCGTTTCCACCGATCAAGGCGATTTCATCCTCACCACCGAATCGCAAAGGCTCGGCGAGAAAGCCCCCGAATTGGGCAGCTTTGTGAGGTGCAAGTTGAGGTTTGTAAAAGAGTTCAATATTTTATTCCTGAAGTTTTTCAACTACCGTAGACAAAATATCGTAATCTAGCTGTAGTAATCAAGCTACCTCAATCTAGTTACAGTAAGCAAGTTACTGTAATCAAGCTACCGTGATCAAGCTACAGTAATCTAGGTATTGTAATCAAGCTACAGTTATCTAGCTATATTAATCAAGCTACACAATCAAGCTACAGAAATCTAGCTACACTAATCTAGCCACACAATCAAGCTACAGTAACCTAGCTACACAACCAAGCTACACTAATCTAGCCACACAATCAAGTAATAGATCTTTTCCAGGAAACGGGATTCGACCGAGAAATGGCATCACGGAGATGTGATCAAGTATGAGGTAATAGCTGCTTTATCATTTTAAATCTTGCAAATTTGAAAGCAATACCAATCCTCTCAGGTTCAACCGATGCCCTGCGATTGTCGAATGGATCATTTGAGAGGCACGGGGAATCAGTGTTTGGTTTGTTAAAAGGACCATTATAAAAAGTCGACAAGTCAACCATTATTCTAAAAGTCACCGATTTTCGAAACTACTGTAAACGAATCGTCAGTTTCCATTCGATCAGCCAATTCTTTTGTATAATTTGATGAGAAATTGTATAAAATTTGGCTGATCTAATGTAAACTGGCGGTTGGATTACGGTAATTTTGCATGATGGATTACGGTAGGTAGGTGCTTTTTAAAAACGACTAAAGGACTACAATAGCTACAATAGCTACAACTGTACCTGTCGTTTTGCCTTTTATTAATCTTTTTATCACAAGCTATCTCTTCGTTCAGTTCCGTTGTGAAGCCGAGTTGATCTCATTCACCACCGACAATGGAATTCCCAATCTCGAGTGTTCAATCAGTGCAAATATCTACGATATCAACTTCAGAATTAGTGTAAGCTTGTGAAAAAGCGGATTTTCTTTTTAGAAAAACATTCAGATGGCTCAAATTGGAGTATTTTATGATGTGATCATTAAACGACCGCATCCAAAAGAACACACACTTTGCGAGGGGGAATGGGTGGTCGGTTTTAAATTCACTTTTAATTTTGATGATTTTAAATTTATCAGATATTAAAATCTAGATATTTTAGGTTAATGTAGTATAGATTTATTGCTTAAATAGAATCATAGAATTAAAGATTCATGCATTTTAAAATCGTAATCTATTAGGGTGGTGCAAAAGAAACTGCCGATTTGACGGTAAATTCAAAAAAAAGACGGCGTTCGATGGTGACATGATCACAATGGAATATTTTCGCAAGATCTCGAACAGATTGGCATGGATTGGCATGGATCGGCCTGAATAACGTCCCTCAGCTTGGCTTCGTTCACGACTTCTGTATTGGAACCGTATTGGAACCGTATTAGATCAAAAAAAGAACCGTATTGGAACCGTATTGGAACCGTATTAGATCCAAAAAAGAACCGTATTGGAACCGTATTGGAACCGTGCTCGTAATCTTCCAAAGCCTCCCTCTCGGAATCGTTGAAACCAAGTCTGACACTGCCTGAGAGACAAACTGCCATCTCTGAAAGCAGCACAGAGAGAACGATGCGATTCGACAGCAGACTTTCCAATTTTGAAGTTAAACAGTAATGCTGTTCGTAGCATTGCTCGACCATGATCTAAATAAAAAATATAAGCACTTTTAAATAAAATAAAAAACAACCAAAAAATTCAAATGTCCAAATAAATAGCAAACAAATATGCGAACAAACCATAAAAAATAATGCCGTTAGCATCGCTCGTTTCTGATAAATGAGAGCTGATGAGATCGGCAGTTTCTTTTGCACCACCCTAATAGTATTGCGGTGCAGGAGGGGGTTGAAAAAAATAGTAGTGTGCACTACTATTAAAGAGAATACGGTATTTTGAGTCGTTGCACTGTTTGTCAAATTAATGTCAAATGTCAATTTACACCACCCTAATATTCTGCACTAACGTTAATCGTTTAGTTCATTGAATAAGCTGAATATCTTTTCATTCAATTAAAGAATTAATGTTATTTACCCTTTTTAAATGAATAGCTTTTATTACTAACAAGATTTTCGACCGAATTACAGGGTGACCAGAAATAACGTTGCGGCCTAATTTAGCCTATTTTTTAAAAATCCAAAAAGACTTTGTAACAGAAACAATTTTTTATTAACAACATGATATAAAGAGAGTATAAAATCTACTTTTCTTCAAAGTGGCCACCTTTGGCTCCGATGCAGAGCCTCAAACGCTTGATGAAGTTTTCGGCGATGGGCCGCAGCTCGGCCGGAGTGATTCGATCCCTTTCCCTGGTCAACGATCCAAACTTTTGTGGGGTTTTGCACAAGCCCTTGCCTCCAAAATTGACCAGACATTGTAGTCCAGCGGATTGAGATCGCACGAATACGGAGGCCATTCCTGGGCCGAGATGAAATCCGGAAAGTTTGTCCTACACCAGTCCTGTGTGGATTTGGCTCGATGGAAGGAGCGGAGTCTTGTTGGAAGGTCCAAAATCCGTTACCAAAATGCTGTTGAGCCCATGGAAGCAAAACATCCTCAAGAATCTTTTTTTGGTACACATCCTTATTGATTTTTACCCCAGAGTCGATGAAAATGAGAGGAATTTTGCCGGTTGCGCAGATTCCGGCCCATACCATGACCGATTTGGGATTTTGTCGGTGCTGAACAATCGCAGAGCTGCCTGGAGAGGACGTTTGTATCGCTTAATCGCTTTTGAGACGAGCTGATGAGAAACACGTAGCAATCGCGCGATCGCACTCACGCATTGATCTTGATGATGGAGCTCCAGAATGGAGCTCCAGAATGGCAGATCCCTTGTTTGTCATCCTATAAAAAAATAAATAGACTTGAAACAAAGTAAAACAACAAAGAAACTAATACAAACAACCACAGAGAATAGGTTAAAAATAAATTTGTCTCCCAAAATTGAAACTATGAGGATTTTTGGCTGCCGAAAACCCCGTAACGTTATTTCTGGTCACCCCGTACTGTAGTAATTCAGTTGCATTAAGCAAAATTTTAGGTTGAACGAGTGATTGGACAAAAATCGATAACTCAACCAAACAGCAGCTTAAACAGCAGCAACTTGTCAAGTTTTCAAGAAGATTTAGTCAGTTTATTTGAAAATTTCTTAAAATTTAACTCATAACAACTTAAAAACAATCAAAATTCTTTAAAAAAATCGAAAAATTATCCTGTAAAAATTTAGAAAATTCGCCGAGAATCACCGCAATTCATTTCATTCGATCGCCTCTCTCAAAAGCATCAATCACCTAATATTGTGAGTTCAAACTGTATGCAATAAACTTTTCAAATTCGACTTTTTAAAGTTTAAAGATAAATTGAATGTGAGAAATTGTCATTGTTGTTAACAATGTTTCAGAGATCTCGGGAAATTTCACCGCAAACAACGCTATTCGATGCTCGTTCACACGACTCGGTAAATGACTAAATTTGGCTAATTTTTATAAATCCAATATAGCTTTGTAAAAATTCCCTTCAAAAACTAAGTTCATTTTTATTTTTTGGTGCTCTAAATCTTTTCTAAAGATAGAAATCATCATTTTCAGCTTTTAGATAAAATTTTAGAGCAATTGGTCAAGAAATGACTGAGAAAACGAAGGTGGAATTTGGTTTAGAACGGAATTTCCCTTATCTGAAAATGGAAATAGAGCGTTTGCCCGATAAGCGATAGGTCGCGGGTTCGAATCCCAGGTCCGACCAAGCCCCAACCCATCAACGTGTCCAACTCTGGGCTATCTGGCTTCCCGCATGGCTCTGACTTTGGCTGATGGCTTGAATTATCTCTGTCCAAACCGGCTGTACTAGTTTTATTTTGTACTTGCTTACTGTACTTGGATTTTTGATTACTTTTCACTTCTTGATTAACAATTTACAAGTACCCTAGCCTAAATACCTACCGTAAATACTGTAATAGTACCCCACCGCCCTCGTACAGTCGCGTAGTCGCAAAAGTTTTTTAGTTTTTTAGTATTTCATTGTTTTTCAAAGCACCCGTACTTTCAAAAAATGCGTCTTTGGTATCAAAAAATAGCCCTGAATTTCAGCTATTTTTTGATACCTAAACAAGCATTGTAGCATAAACCAGTGTCGAGAAAAACTCGTTCAAAGCTAGACTACGCAACGCTCCGCACCGTCATTACAATATTTACGGTAAGAAATTTAATTGACAGTGTTCTGTAAAAATACGATGTCTATTGGACTACTGGTGTCTCATTCTTTAGTGTACTTTAGCGTAATGTAATGTCGCGTCGCGTAATCGCAAAAGTTTTTTAGTATTTTGTTAATCAAAGCTTTTTCAAAGCAACCGTACTTTCAAAAAATGCGTCTTTGGTATCAAAAAGTAGCCCTGAATTTCAGCTATTTTTTGATACCTAAACGCGCATTGTAGCATAAACCAGTGTCGAGAAAAACTCGTTCAAAGCTAGACTACGCAACGCTCCGCACCGTCATTATGGGCGGTGGGGTCCAATTACAGTATTTACGGTAAATATCCTTTTTTTCTTACTAAAATGACTTTAAATAATTGATTTTATGCAAATAAAAGCTTTATTTAAGCATAAGAATTCTAAAAATGATCATAACTTTTCAGAGATTTCATCAAGAATCCCCGGAAACGAGAGCTTTCCACAGAAATTCGGTAAGTTTCTAAAATTATTTGAAAAAAAAACTTTATTCTAACCTAATTGTTAAGCTAATTGTTAAGCTTTTTTAAAAATCAATTAAACTATAAATTTCTTAACTTTAAAACCAAGATAAACTGAAAATATCGATTTTTATTTGTAGAAAAAATCCGGGTTACGGTAGTTTTCGTTTATCTACTTTTAGAGAGCTTCTCGTTTTCTAAGAAAGCTTTCTAAGAAGGCCATTCTAGAAAACTTGATTTGGGATTTGTTAAAGTGCTCAATCTTTAAATCCATCCCAGTTCTTCGCCTCAATTCTTCTCGTTTTCTAATAAAGCTTTCTAAGAAGGCCATTCTAGAAAGCTGTGTCCATTCGATCAGCCTAATTTTGGTAAAATGACAAAATGGCCGAGCAAAATCGGTGGAATTCGGCTTTGATTCGAATTTTTTCATTTCTCTTGGTTTTAAAGTTTTAAAATTTTAGAGATTAAATAAAGATTTTAATTAAAAAAAGCTTAACAATTAGCTTAGAATAGGTTTTTTAAAAAAATGTTTTTGAACTTTAATGAATTTTTCGATGTCTAGAATCAATCCCAACCTGGAACTCTTGAAATGCGCGGCATTTGTGTGAATCAAACAAAAGCATACAATTTCATTTCTTTCTCAAATGAGATTGAAGCCGTTTATCCGTTTGTTTCAATAAATCAAACTTTTGAAGAAGTCTTTTAGTGTCAGAGATGCGCAAAGGAAAAAATTGGCGATCAACACTGGCGATCATTTGAGATGTGAAGTGAGAGAGTGAGTGGGGACGAGTTGAGAGTAGAATTTCTGAAGTTCTAAAGAAGTAAGACAACATCCAGTGGACAACCACATACAACATCTCGTTTTCTAAAGCGTGTCAACTTTTGAAAGCTATAGTAATCTACCGGGACTAATCCAGCTTATCCAGCTTCACATATCATTTGAGATGTGAAGTGAGAGAGTGAGTGGGAACGAGTTGAGAGTAGAATTTCGGAAGTTCTAAAGAAGTAAGATAACATCCAGTGGACAACAACATACAACATCTCGTTTTCTAAAGCTTGTCAACTTTTGAAAGCTATAGTAATCTTCCGGGACTAATCCAGCTTATAGTAGTAGCTGATAGATTTCTATCCAAGTCTCGGGACTAATCCAGCTTCCAGTAGTAGCTGATAGATTTCTATCCAAGTCCCGGGATTAATCCAGCTTCCAGTAGTAGCTGATAGATTTCTATCCAAGTCTCGGGACTAATCCAGCTTATAGTAGTAGCTGATAGATTTCTATTCAAGTCTCAGGACTAATCCAGCTTCCAGTAGTAGCTGATAGATTTCTATCCAAGTCTCGGGACTAATCCAGCTTATAGTAGTAGCTGATAGATTTCTATTCAAGTCTCAGGACTAATCCAGCTTCCAGTAGTAGCTGATAGATTTCTATCCAAGTCCCGGGACTAATCCAGCTTCCAGTAGTAGCTGATAGATTTCTATTCAAGTCTACTTTAAATCTAAATCTTTCGACCTTTATGAATCGAAAGATCAAATTCTACAGAAAAACTAGAGACAAGATTATGGTAGTTTTAGAAAATAAACACGAAAATAGATGATTTATGTTAGACTTTTCTAGGAATTTTTCAGAATTCTTGACAAACGTGAAAGCGAGCAGCCAACGATTCGTTACGAGATTCTCGACTATCAAAAAATACCATCACCTACCGGTTGGAGTATGGATGGAATCACGATAAATGGACTGGCAAAGGTAGAATGTTTTTTAGCATACGGTAACTAATCGAATAAAAAATTCAATAGAAAAAAAATTGATACCAAATCTGAAAAACTTTCACCTAAAAACTTTTCTCAATCCAATCCATTTAGCTGATTTGTCCATTGAAATATCGGTGTTTAAACCGTGGAAAATGCAAGCACCAATATCCAATCTATTACAATGAATTGATGGACATTGTTCATGATTATGATCGAAGATCGATTGAACTGGGAGAGGTGGGAAATCAAGGGATACTTTTAATTCAACTTTCCAGCTAAACTTGATTACTCTTAGAATCTTATCATCATTACCTTTTGACCTGAACCTTTTGAGTGTACTTTGTACTCCAAAATGTACAATAAACAGTACGATGCTAGTATACTTTGTACTCCAAAATGTACAATAAACAGTACAATGCTAGAATCCAAGTTACAAGATTTAATTGACCCTAAAGTAAAGAAATGTATGACGAAGGTTTTGCACCAAGGGGAATTGAACTCTTGACCTTCTGCTTATCGGGCAAAGCTCAGTGGCTAAGCGCAGAGCACTATCACTAAGCTATTGGCGCCTTCTTTCGCCAAGAAGAAATAGGAAAGACAAGGAAGAGAAAGGAAGGAAGAGAAAGGAAGGAAGGAAGGAAGGAAAGAAGAGAAAGGAAGGAAGAGAAAGAAAGGAAGAGTTACTTTAGCCACTCAATGAAGAAACGCTAAAACGCACGAGATTGATTGCTGAGGTGACAAGAACAAGAATACCCGGACAATCGGGTAAAAATGGATGGATGTTGCAAAGAATGGTTGAGAAAACGATTCAAGAATCATTCGATGAGGAAATGGTAAGCGAATTGTTTCTATAAGTTTAAAAAAAAACTTTATAAACCTCAATCTGGACCTTTTGAGTGTACTTTGTACACAAAAATGTACAATACACAGTCTTTCTAGTGCAATTTTTCATCTTTCCTTCAACAGTAAATCATTTTCTGAGAAAAATAAAGTATTCAGTGCGCTAGAGAAGGTGTGTTTCGAATTTTTTGAGTATAAAGTACATCCAAAGAATCGTTTCTATTGCTCTACAGCTTTCTAGAGCTTATTTAAAGTTTCAAAGTTGAAATTTCAGCTCGACGAATCTAAGCCAAGCACTAGTCAATATATGACTTCGAAAGAAATGGAAAACTTTTCAAGAAACATGTCAAAAGGTTCAAATCTTTTGTTTCTGATCAAATTCAAACTTTTCTAGGCATTGTCACTAAGAAATGGGGTTTCTTTTTGGTTGTCTGGTTGTCGGATGGCCGTTTGACGCTCATTGATACGAGACGTTTCCAAAATGATGGAGTACCCGAGTTGGGGACATTCATTGAGTGTCATGTGATGTGAGTTAAAGAAACTTTTCTCTTTTCGACAGTACTCTGGTGTCAAATTGTTTGATTTTCATTCACAAATTGAATGACCGTTACTGTAGTGATCTTCTTTGTCAAAACTATTCTTGAAAAAGCTACTCAAGGTGTAAGTAAATTGAAATTGATAAATGAAATTGATAAAATGAAATGGATAAAATGAAATTGATAAATTGAAATTGACAAATTGAAATTGACAAATTGAAATTGATAAAATGAAATTGATAAAATGAAATTGATAAATTGAAATGAGTAACATCTAGTTGATTTTAAAAGGTAAAAGGATTACGGTAGCTTTTAGGAGCATAGTTTAGAAAGCAATCAATCACTCGTTTCTGTCGAAATTCAAATTCTTCAAATTCTAAAAGCTTACAAAGCTTAAGTTTTTAAATGCTTTAGAAATGAGAAAAGATTTTAGACCAATTGCAGTGATACTGGATCGAAACACGATATACAAATGGGAAGTGATCGAAATGTATCCATTCTATTTAACAAATTGCAATGGATTTGTGGAAAATGAGGAAACTTTTGTGGGTGATAATGGAAAAATTTGTTATTTGTCCCATTTTTAAAAAATAATATTTAAAAACCCTAAAAACATTTGGTTCTTTTAAAGTTTACGAGACTTTTAAAGTCTTATATCACATTTCTTTGAGCTCTTTCTTTAACATAAGTAGACATAAGTAAAGTTTTTTTGTTTTAACAATATTAAGAATAGATCCTTTATCTATAAAAGCTTATGGTTTACCAGCTGAAAAACCCGCCTTTAGGCTAGTTATTTCACTGGTTCTTTAGATAAAATAGATTCGATTTTACAGTACCTTTGAAATCATCCAGTAATGCCACTAGCAAAGTAGTGGCAAATAGAAGACACAAAAACAGTGGAGTGGCAAAGTAGTGGCAGATAGAGGACAATAAAGCAGTGGAGTGGCAAAGTAGTGGCAAATAGAAGACAATAAAGCAGTGGAATGGCAAAGTAGTGGCAGATAGACACTAAAGCAGTGGAGTGGCAAAGTAGTGGCAGATAGAGGACAATAAAGCAGTGGAGTGGCAAAGTAGTGGCAAATAGAAGACACTAAAGCAGTGGAATGGCAAAGTAGTGGCAGATAGGCACTAAAGCAGTGGAGTGGCAAAGTAGTGGCAAATAGAAGACAATAAAGCAGTGGAGAATGACTCCTACTTCTAGCGTAATCCATTCTATTTTGCCTTAATGATCAGTAGACTATAATCCACTTTCTAGATACATTGCCACCAATTGACTTTTGAAGGATACCGCTTGGTTGAGAAAACTCGTCAAGCTCACTTCTCTCATCCATTCTTTGGCAAAATTTGCGATATAAAAGGCGTTTTCTATTTGGTAAGCTGAATATTTATGTGTTCAAATGGTTTTTAAAAGGTGTGCTCAAGAAAAGATACCGTACTTGTTTAAAGCAATAAAGCTGAAGTAAATCTCAAAAGGTCAAGCCATTCACTATAAGGATAGCTAGAGTAAGGTAGCTTTTTTTCAGCTTTTAAAAGCTAGAGTACGATAGCTTTTCTGAGAAATCTTTTAGCAAATATTTAAACCGTGACTTTTAGTCTCCTCAACCCGGTGACCCAATCGAGGCTTATATCAAAGCAATCCCAAACGGAGAATCGAGCCTTCAATGGATAATCGTTGATGAAAAAAACATGGAAGCTTCACGAAGAGCTCTTCCTCGAGCTATCGTTGCCCCATTGAATCATCTACGAATTGTGGATGACGATGAGAGATCGGAGAAGTATGTTTTGAACTTCTATATCGTCGTCGTCGTCGTCGTCTTCTTCTTCTTCTTCTTCTTCTCCTTCTTCTTCTTCTCCCGGTTCCCCCCTTCAATTCCCTCATGATTCCCATAAACAATTGACAGAGATCGAATGGAGACTGAACTCTTTTTTCTCTTCAATTCTCCTTTCATCTTTTATCTACCACCACATGTGACATTTCTCGTCGTTTAGCTCATTTTTTGGACTCTTTTGTCATTTTTTTGTAAATTGGTTGAGCTTGTTGAACTATTCCCTTCATTTTTACTAGCAAAACGCTTGCCCAATTTGCAATGGTTTAAAAGTTTTATTTGTTGTTCAAGATAGCACAAGAATGAAGTATTCTGATGAACAGAAAAAACTTTTTCAAACCTTTTCTGCAAATTGGACAATCGTTTTGCTCATAAAATCAGTCATTCAGTCATTAGTTTCTGTCATTTTTTTTTCCTCTTTTGATCTTCAATCATAACCACAAGATCTAGAGATGCCTTTTTGAAGTTTTCATTTTGTTTCTTAGTTGAGCTGAAATACTTTTCTTTTCTGTACAAAGCTCTCTCAACTAGATTTGCTGTCATTCGATCAATTCTTGTTTCAGATTTTCAAAATCCTCATCGTATTCCCATTTCGATACGTTCTCCACGTCGACCTCATGTGGAACAAATGATGAAGTAAAAGCTAAACTGTTTAAACAGTAATCCCTATTATTCTATTATCCTATATATTCTAGTAAACCAGAAAGTACAGAATGTTCAATATCTATACCAAAAATGGCAACGGAGAGGGATCAACTTGTAAAATTCAAGGGCTTATAAAATGAGTTGTATATCTTTAATCGGGAAACTTTTAAGAGATAAATGTCGCCAACATTAAGGGCTTCTTATATAGCACTTAACATATTAGGGTTGAACTTGGAGAGCTAATCTATCAAAAAGAAGCCGCTGTAAATATTGAACACTCTTTACAGTTTACTGTGGACTTATAGTTGACTTTATAGTTGACTTTTGTAGTTGACAGTTAGAATTCTGCATACAGTAATCCTTTATAAAACTTATAGTCTCTTCTGTAGTTCTAAAATCTCTTTAGTAGATAAGGTCTAAATTCTAATATTTAGATTTAGATCAAACAAATCACCTCGAGAGCCGCTAGATCAGCAGATGGAGAGGATCGAGAGACTGGCCAACAAAAGGCAAAGGTTTCATTTGATTTATTTGAATTTGAGAATTTTAAAATTGCCAAACTTGATCAAAAATCTACTTAAGCTCAGGCTAAGTAGCCTAAGCCTGTCTAAGCCTAAGCCTTAGACAATATCTTTACCTCAAATTGCAGACCTACGAAGAGTTGATCCGAGCGATCGTTGACCATCCCGGGATTAGCAATACAATTCTCGAAATAGATCCCGATTTATTCGCCGAGATACTCAGCTTTACGATTTGAGATTGTGAACTTGTTTTTAAACTTTCTAAAACCTTTCTTCTAATGATAGCTTTTTTTGGTGCTGATTTTTTCATTCTTCTTCAATTTAAAACCAAAAAGTTCGGTGAAATTACATGTTTTTATTTGATTTTTGATTTTATTGTCTATTTCAATGATGTGACTTTTAAGAACTCTAACTTTAAGAGGCTTTAAGAGGCTTTAAGAGGCTTTAAGAGGCTTTAAGAGGCTTTAAGAGGCTTTAAGAGGCTTTAAGAGCTTTAAGAGGCTTTAAGAGGCTTTAAGAGGCTTTAAGAGGCTTTAAGAGGCTTTAAGAGGCTTTAAGAGGCTTTAAGAGGCTTTAAGAGCTCTAGAAGTAACTTCTGCAAGTCTCAGTGCAACTGATTAAGACTCTAAGATTTTAACCGAATTCCTCAGAAGTGTAATTTTAATAAAATATCAGTTTATTTTAATGTTCTATATTATTTTTATCTGATATTTTATAGAATAGATTAAAGCTAAATTGGTTTACTGACTATGGTCTTAGTCAGCAATCCCCATAACTTTCTTAAAGCTTTAATTTAGAATCGAATAATCTTCTTCGATCGAAGCTTCTCATGATTGACCGTACTCAAGTCTGGTATTTGGTACACTTTGTACTCAAAAATGCAAAAAAAAACCCTTTCTAGTTTACTCAATTCTTCACCTTTCTTGCTACTTGCTGGCACGTGAAAAATGAGGAATTGAGTGCACCAGAAAAGGCGTGTTTGCACTTTGAGCACAAAGTACAATAAAAGAATAAGCCTAGATCGAGTGTTAATAAATAAGTTTTTAAGAATAGTCCAAATTAAATCCAGATTGTGCGCGATTACCGCGATGTGCGCGATCAGCAACTCGACGCGGCTGTGTGCACTACTATTAGAGAAAATACGGTATATTAAATTAAATCCAAATAACGAGACGCTTCGTGAATACCAATCAACCATCAGTCAAACTTTTGAGTTGAGCGAAAGGTAAGGGGAAAAGCGGAATGCGCTTTGTTAGGGAATCAAAATGATTGATGAGCCAAAATTTCAGTTAAAAGACCATTGGAATCCATAGCAACAGCTTATTGTTGCATAATTGTATTGTTGAGAAAATTGTCGCCTAAATGTTTTTTTTTGTAGCCATTCCTTTTTAACACTTCGAATCGTTTTGATATCCAAAATCTTGCAAAAAATTGCGGCTTCAATTTTATTGCCTAAGCAAAGATACTCTCTTTGTACTCTTTCTACTGACCGTTTCTTTTCTTGGGGAGTGGGACAAATGCGACCTTTTTTTTGCGCACCCGGACATTAGCGCACCTTTTTTCGTGTTTTAAAAAAGCTCTAAAAAGCTAATATTAACCAATTTCTATTCCAAAAGTTGTTTTTCTAGGTAATTTGAGGGCGTAGAATCGAAATTTTGACATAACAGAGCGTGTGGAACCAATTTGAAAGATAACACGGCTAGATCAAATTACAGAAAATTGTCGATTTTTCTCTTTGTATAACTCCGTCCGTTTGTTTCCACAAGCTCTGATATGTCAAAATTTCGATTCTACGCCCTAAAATTACTTAGAAAAACAACTTTTGGAATAGAAATTGGTTAATATTAGCTTTTCAGAGCTTTTTTAAAACGCGAAAAAGGGTGCGCTAATGGACAAGGTGCGCAAATGTCCGGGTGCGCAAAAAAAGGTCGCATTTGTCCCACTCCCAAATTTTGCAAAAAATTGCGGCTTCAATTTTATTGCCTAAGCAAAGATACTCTCTTTGCACTCTTTCTACTGACCGTTTCTTTTCTTGAAATGAATTTCGTAAAATGTTCAGAAATAAATATGAATTTCGATGGCAAATCAATATTCACTCTACCAACTGAATAGCAAATTCGACCCAAAAATTTAGTATAATGTTTTCAGGTTTTTCGGGGGTGCCTTTGCTTTGCGCCAATTTTTTTGCACAGCTCCCCATAACTTTCTTCTAAGTGGGCTAGTCTTTATGATTTTAGTGTCACTTTGTAGATCTCAACAAGTGCAATAAAATGGCACCAAAATCATAAAAATTGGCCCACTTAGAAGAAAGTTATGGCGAGTTGCGCAAAAATTTGGCGAAAAGTAGCTACCCTCAGTTTTTCATTTTCCCGTTCGATCCGTTTCGGCCCGCTTACGTTTAAGCAAGTCTAAATCTGTGCGAAGCTTCTCAAAAATTAGTAAGTATCTAGATTCTAATCTTATCTAGAATCTAATCTGAACACATTAGATAGAAGCTGGCACTCTGGCTTGGCACTCTTTCCGAGTCGCTCTTGCTCTTT